GGCGTCACGTGTCAAGGCACACCCTCTGGAGAGGGTTCCAGCTTTTTTTCTGGTGAGGAGCTGCTCCTGTAAAGGCAGACCACTCTGACCCATAGCGGAAGATGCTGACGGTGTATACTCCTGCCTGGAGGCAGACAGCATGGACCCCAGGAGTCTGGTAGCATTGCGGCCTGGACCCTCCTACCCACAGGTGGCTGATGGGCTAGTGAGCTAAGCTAGCACCACTTTGTGCCCCATAGATATTTTCAAATATCCAGGAGCCATGTGCGTGCGTGCGTGCGTGCATGTGTGTGTGTATTTGGATATGGGATGTTATGACTGAACTCTGTTCCCCTTGAAATTTATACATTGAAGGCCTAACCTCCTGTGTTGTTGTATTTGGAGATGAGGCCATAACGAGGTAATTAAAATTAAATGAGGCCATAAGGGCGGAGCCCTAATTCAATAGGTCTTGTGTCCTTTTAAGAAGAAAAAGTAACACCACGATTGAGTACACAGAGAAGAAAGTCCATGTGAGAACAGATCAAGAAGTCAGTCATCTGTAAGCCAAGGAAAGAGGCTTCAGAAGAAACCAAATTTGCCAACGCCTTGACCTTGGACTTCTAGCCTTATGAACTGTGCAAAAGTAAATTTCTCTTGTTTAAGCTACCCACTGACTAGTGCATGAGGGCAGGAGTGTCTGGTCTTCCTGTTTGCAGGCTGCGCTCCCAGGGTGGCTGTTACCTCCTGGGAGGCACAGCAGATGGCAGTGGCGTCCTGCGAGTTTGTACAGCTGGCCAGCTTGTCATGCTGTGGCTCTGGCTCAGATAATGAAAAGGGTCAGAGACGTGAACGTCAAGGTCCAGGCTTTTCCGTAGGGAAAAAAACCAACAACTTTGCATTAAAATTTCCATATAAATATTAATCGAACCTGGGTCCAGAAAGCAAATGAGACACTGTTTAAAAGGAAAAATAAGGCAAACAAAATTTTCAAGCATTTGATGTGCCTGCAATCGAACTCTCTGTAGTTCGATGATGATTTTTTGCCATTTACAGAGGCTAAGTTTGAGTCTTTGCTCCGGGAGCCTGAACCCTCTCCATAGCTCCCAGAGGTCTCTGGCTCTGGGGCTCCCTGGCTACGCCCCCTGCTGAGGTCTGCCGTGTCAAAACTGAGCACATGGCTGGTCAGCTTCATTTTGACACCAAAAATACTTTAATCTTCCCGTTACTGTAATTGGGCTATTATCTCAGCACAATTCCAGACCCCAAACTGCCCTCTGTTTCTCAGAAGGCTCTTAGGAATGGAAACTTAACTAATTTGTCAGGGAGGTAGATATCATCTCCTCCTTCATGATGCCTCAGTGCAAATCCACAGCAGTTAAGAATAGACAGAGATTCATCTCTTCCCGGTTTACATAGACATTAAACTTTGCCCATACATCGGGGCTTACTTGCTGGGAGCGTACGCATACCCTGTGCGTGCGTGACTTTCATCCAGCCAGAACACTTTTAAAGGATCAAAATTAACTTCCTTTGTGACATAATTATCAAAAACTAGAAACGTCAAACCTTCTTTACACTCGAGCATTGGAAATCATGTGTTCTAGGTGGTGTCTAGAGACGAAATACAGACAAGTGACCGACTATGATAATACATGGGAAATATCAACAGCAAGCATTGTACTCAGCACTCATAATGGCCTGTCTATATGTGAATGACCACAAGTGAATGAACCTAACTGGACAGAGAACTGGCCCAAACAAGCAGCTCCTGCAGGTTAGTCCTGTGAAACTCTAAGGTAGGTCTCAGTCTACTTGGACATAAAAATGAAAAAGTAATTCATATCTTGCCCATTTAGCAAAATGACAAAAATTATAAAACTTGCCTAATGAGAAGTTGGATTAATAAAGGCAGATAAGGTCTTGTGACCAAAATACATATGAAGACATAGGCATTGTTTTAGCGGCCTTTGGAAAATAATTTATTAGAGGCTTGAAAGATAAATATGATTTTCCAAAAGATATTTGGCTTTGGCCAAAACTTAGTCTAGGGCAGAACTCCTTAACATGAGTTTTCTGGAATTCTAATTTTCTGGAATATTAATATTTCTTATGAAAAAGCATTCTGTATTCAGATGTTTGGGATATCACTGTACTTTCTTTTTTTTAATTGATGGTTTAACATCTACAAAATGACCACCTGCTGATCCTAAGTAAGCCCTAGCTGACCTAAAACACCTGGAGACTTTAGAGCCCCAAACTATATCCTCTAATAGTCACAGTGAACATGAATTTCACAAGATGCCACTTACCAATGTAGCTAGCTGGTACTAAACCTGCTTAGCCTGCCTTGCCCATTTCTTTAGATGGGAAGAAACCACAACAAAGGTGCTTGCCCACACCTTTGTTCTCTCTCTCTCTGCCCTGTGGCCCACCTTGATGCTATTAGTGTGCGCAGGGAACTATGAGTGTAATAATACTGCAAAACCATTTGTGCTTTTTGTCTTTGATCTGCATTTGGTCTCACTATAGCTCACCCACTCTAATATGGTTAAAACAAAACTGGATTAAGAAAAATTGAATATACTTTTTTATGGCAGTAGTCACAAAGATGTTAATATGTAAGTATGCACTCTGAATTTTCAGTGACCAAGCTATTTAGCTATGGGATCTTTTTTGAGCAGTATGTCTTATGGAACCAGCATTTTGGGATCCACTCTGCGAGGTACTATTCTAGAGAGGTACTGATGATCTGCCTAAGAGCCTTGATGTGTCAGTATTTTCTGAAGATGAAAATGCACTGGCTTTCTTGTGAAATACAATCAATGATTATAGTTTAAGGAACTCAACTCTCATATAAACTTTTCCTTCATCAAAGATTTGGCACAAAAACACTGAATGGTAACATCTGGATGCACTTATATACTTCATGGAGTCTGTACATTTTAAAATCCACAAATTTATTACCCTTCCTAATTCTGAACATATCCTTCATGCGTAAGACAAGTGCTTACTAGATGTCTTCTCTTGTATATTCATTAGGCACCTTAACCTCAACCTGTTCAAAATGAGCCAATTTTCACATCCTATTCTACTTTCCTTAAGTAACATTTCCATATATCCCTCCACTTATGCCAGAAACCAAGGAACTTATCGGTCTGTTCATTGTCCTTTACACAGTACCATCCATTGTCCATTAATCACTTTGTTTCAGCATGTCTCCTGTCCTATCTGTCCTCTCCATCTCCAATATAGGTCTTAGCCCAGACACTCATCCCCTCATATCTCAGTCATGGGTACAGTGTCTATCCGGTCTCCCTTTCCCTAATTCGCCCTGTTATCCGCGGAGCCTTTCTTTCGTACTGATACCACTGTGATTTTTCTAAAGCACATTTTTATTATATTATTTTGTTTTCACAAACTACCTGCCAACTGATTTTCCATCATGCTATATAAAATAAAGTCCAAATTCTTCACTCTGTCATACCATTTCTCTATGTCCCTTTCATGCTCTCTTTTCTAATCCCTGAATGCCCACCTCTAGCACAGGATACAATCCAGCTGTATCAGTCTGGCTTCTTGCTCTCAACATGACCAGCTGTGACAGGCCTCGGTGCTTTCCCACTTTTTACCAGGAGTCACCTTATTCCCACACTGGCTGCCCTAACCATCTTCCATCCACTCACCTTTCAAGACCAAGCTCAAGAGTATCTTTCTCTATAAAGCACTTCCTGGTCCCATTCTTATCTTACCCCACAATACTCTCTAGAGGGTTTTATTATACTTCTTTTTCCACAAGTGTGTTTTTCCTACTAGATGGCAAATCCCTAGAGGTAAAAGATTGTATGTTATTAATCTTAAAATCTCCAAAGCCTGACAGAGCACTTGATACATTGAAAAGCATTTTACAAATGCTTGTTTTAAAGTGAAAAGCCCATCATTTCCTTTCACACACATAATGATATAAACTATGCACTGTGTGTTCCTGCTTTTATGTTATGTATTAGTATAACTGAAAAAGTGCCTCCTCTAAATTAGCCACCTGATACTGCTTCCGCCTATCTAATACAATTGGAAAATGAAGAAGAAACACATATTTCTCTATGGGTCTCTGAGTCTCTGGGTTTTTCCTCCCCTTAAGTCATCTTGTAACAGAGCAGTGAATTCTCATCATTTTTGCCTCTGTCTCAAAACCCCAGTCATTATTATCTTTGAAAACCAGAAAGAATGATTCAATTTTTTATTTTTCCTTAGAGTAAGGCTGCATAGGCAAGTGTCCATGATAACAATCAGGCAGACTAGAAGTACTTTTTCCAGTCCTCCTAGTTCAGATCCTGAGGAGGTAAAGAGTGAGTGGAACATTTTATCTGCCATTTTTACATTTTTAGAAGAGCCGAAGATGGCGGAGCCACTCAGAGGCTTGTAGAAGGCACCACCGTCTCAACTCTGGATCAAGCAATAGGACTCAATGCTGAGACTCAGACAGGGGGTTCTTGCCATTTGCATCAAAGTATAGGAGCTAAGAGGAAACATAAAAATTTGGTTTCCTGAAGACAAATTTCTTGAATTAACCTGAAGCATGTTCTTGTGAGAATTTTAAGAGCTATTGTTCTCAAATTATGGATTGTTAATGTTTGCAGTCCTAGGTGAACCTGATTAGTTGTTAGTTATCAATACCTAATAAATGGTTTATAAAAGAGAATGGTCAAGTTAACCACATTTAAAAATCACTTCCATCTCCAGTTTCCCCTCTATATTCCCTACTTGAATTGTTATAAGAGAAATAGGTCTTTAAAGTACCTCCCAATAAAAAAATGTGTTTTCAAAATAAACCCTTCTCTAATTTTTCAATATCCTGCATATTTTTTATGAAAACACTTTATCCCCGTGGCTACAAAAGCTTATTGCTTGTTCTAATGATGAGTTGGGGGATATTGCCTGAGAACTGGTAAGGCTAGGTAGGAGGCAGTAAAGAAGGTGCTTTGAACTTAAAAGAAACAGAATAGAGCTTTAATACTTACAGCTGTCCTCTTCTTCAGTTATACATTTCACAACATAACAGGCGTAGATGAACCCTGCCAGCTGAAACAAAACAAAGATGCTTTAGACATGAGGCAAAGGCAACAGAACCGGAGCTCGCTGGGGAATGACTTTTCAAAGGCAGGCAATTCACAACTAGATTTAGTGTTCCAAAATGGTCTATCAGACTGGATTGTGCTCCAGCGTGGGTTCTTGATTCAAGTGGTATTTGTCTGCCTTATAAGTAAATATTGTCCTCTGACCTGCAGTTATGTGTAAGATTAATTAATCACCGGGCAATCAAAAACAAGTTATTTTAAGTGCAGGAAGAGAAAAAAGAATTAGGCCCTTTCATTAATACAATAACATTTGCATTTGTGCCCATCAAATTCTAATTTACTTACATTAGCCACTGGCTATGATAAAAAAATAGTTTTCAGGGGAAAATATCAAGGAGATTCCATGGTATGTTGCATGAACATTTTATTAGTAAAAATGCCCTCTAATTTAGAGCTGAAGCAGCAATCTGGCATACCAAGAATAATTAGGATGATATGTTACAGAGAAGCCATGAGGTGGATAATACCCAAAGATAATGCATATTACAATGCATTGAATTTAGGATTGAACACATCACATTGTCCTTTCTGAAATACACTACGAAAAGGTCCCATGTTCAGGCAAGTCTTCATTTCCTGTTACCTGTAAAGGAGCACAGCAAAGTCCTTTGATATCTATCCCTTCAGATTAAATGGTTTTGTATCTCTTCATATCAGCAAAATATTTATTTAGTCAAATCACAAGCAATGGTGGAAAAAAGCAAACTAATATAATTTCCTGGTAAGTGGAAAAATTGTTACCCAACATAATTGAGTTTGGGGGAATTTTTAAAAGTATGTCCTCAGAAGAGTGATGATGATTCACAGAGCGTTGCTCTGGCTGGGTACTGACCCTCCATAGCAGCATTTGGTGTGAGAAGGGAATGTTAGGAAAGGCTGCTGTCTTGTGTCAGGAAGCTAAGAAACGGGGCTGCCGTGATAAGCCTAACGAAGTTTTCTTTATTAGCCGAGAGCGATCCTTCTGGAAGATGTGAGCGGAACATTTTAAGTCAGAGGGGACACTGATAGCTATTTAATGAGCACAAACCTATTTGGAGACAAAGGGGGGTCCAGTTAAAAGAAACTTTAGAAAATCTCTAATTTGGGTTTGAGGGAGAAAGCATGTTTTCTTCCAAAGAGAGCTGGCATGGGATGAAACAGTGTCTATCCTGACACAGAAGAACTGACCCTGCCCGGGGGAGGAGTGGCTGGTGGAGAAGGTCTGTACAACACATTCTTCAAAAGCTTTTGTTTTCAGATCCTGGGTCAGAAGGAATGTGCACCCCTGCCCTCCAACCTCCAAATGCAGTATCTGGACTGGTTACACATAATAGTTAAAGAAAGATACAACTGATGTTGTATTAGCAGAGTTAGTTTCTTTTAATTATCTTCAAAAAATCATCAAATCAGCATTTTTCTCTCTGAATTATATGTTGCTATTGGCAATAAAACAGTGATAGTAAGAACTATTTCCTTATGTAATAGAATCATCAGAATCAGTATTCTGCAGGGCTTATTTTTCAAGTACTGGGTATTATTAAAAACCAGTGTCCACCAAAGATTTTGATTTGCTCAAAGAAAATCACATGGTGATTTAAGCATTTCATGCATACTGAAAAAACAGATTGTACTAACTCTTAATCTTTCATCTGCCAGGACCCATAAAAATGTTCTAATCCTTGAATGACCTGTCCCATGGGTACTCTGTCATTCATACTTGGTTATGACTGGGGTCAGGTAAAGAGTTAGTGGGTTTCATTCAATGGTCTGGCTATGTCTATAGTTTCTCCCCTTCTTCCACATGAAGGCCTTATTACCCATAGCTAAATGTTCAGATTTAGCAATAACTTATTTTTTTCTGTTCAATTTTAAATACCTGTTACTTAAATTATCTATAAGGAATCTTTTTCAAAACAAAATCACAAACTCTTCTTTTGATTCTTACTCATCATTTCATTATTTTGGGAATGAAAATGTAGATAAACACCACTGATAAATTCTGAGATTCAGGGCGAATAGGTTTAAATTTTTCATTAAGGTGCCACTAGATCCTAGATTATTAACTGTACTGCTCTCCCAGAATGCAGGGAAGGCTCTGTATTCTGCTTACCAGTGATCTTTTAATTGTATTTGGTTGCATTCTTTAACTATCAGGGGAGTGCCTTTGATATAAAAGTAAATCCTGCTGCATTTCATTACAGAAGCTTGCTGATTAAGAGAACTTTAGCTTTTAAATTGTGACCTCTAAATACAAATGAAAATTTGTTTTCCCAAATTAATCAAGATTCACAAACCTCTGTTACTTCTAATTTTCTGACAGCATATACATTTCTAATTTAATTTTTAACACCTTATAGCAATTTATAAAACTTACAGAAAAGGGATTTAAAGTAATTTCTAACAACTCTGACTGTCATCTATAGTGTGCACCTCTGCTAATTGCCACCTGGGCTGCAAAGATGAACTAAACCAGGGTTTCTTAACCTCAGCATCATCGACATTTTGGGCTGAGCAATCTTTTCTGTGAGGTCTGTTGTACATTATAGAATACTTAACTAGTAACATCCTACCATCAAGACAGTTGACAATTGGCACAATCAAAAATGTCAGCAGACATTGTCATATGTTCCTTAAGGAGATAAAACTGCCCCCGGTTAGATACAATCCTATCCTAAAGGAATTTGCAGTTTTGTAGCAAGGTTACAAATGTAATTGTAATTTGAAGTAAATTAAGATAAGTGTCAGAAGGAAGGAAGAAAATTGAATGTCTACAAAGTGACAAACAAACAAACAAATTGTCTACTAAGTGATTAATGAAAAACATTTTTCGTCGAATACAAATTCTTAGTAATGTGATAATTAGCTCCCTTTTGGGCCTCATTTCCCCTCATTCCTAGTCTCAAAATTGATGTCAGTTAGTAAGCTGCTGGTGGTTTGCTGAAATATAGCAGGTGGGTTTCCTCCTTTGTTTTTCGACTCATTAACCCATTCTGCCAACCAAACGTGAATGCCCTGCACCTTCTCCCTTCTCTCCCTGTTCAGGCTTGCACCTTTATGAATGCATTAAAGTGTCTCCTCCAAGAGCTGACAATTCATTATCAGGGTAAGTGTAGGTTGGCACTTTGGAAATAAACCTTGAGAAATGGAAGGGCTTTGAGGGGAATAAATGAGGGGAATAAATGAAGGGAAAGGAGAAGACATCTTCCAAGCAGAACTCAAAAAAGCTCTCGGAAGATGTAAGTTACATTCAGGGAGAGGCAAATGGCCCCAGTTCAGAGGAGTTTGGGCCATGTGAAGGGGTGAGGATGTCCAAAGCAGAGAACAGTGACCTGTGTTGTCATAGTGAATCTGAGTACCTGGAATTAAAATATAATTATTTTATTTTGTTTTTTTAAAAAGATGACTAGAATAATAATGAAAGATACCAGTATATACTAGACAAACATAGAATTATCCACTTGTAAAAACCCTAAATACCCTAGTTGTTTTAGTCTTTGGCATTCAAAGCAGAGCTAAGCCTAAATCTGTTTATTTTCATTCATCTTTTCACCCTGATACATCTAATATGATTTGTTCACTTTTAATTCACCTTATAGGCAATTACATATTATCTTGATATCGTTACTGGCTAAGAGAAAGTATTTTCTTTCTATGAGTAAATCAGATTGAACTTTTTTTAAATCTACAAACCAAATTATGATGGTATATTCCAGAAATTCACTTAGAAGTTAATAGACAAGAGGAAATCAATGTCTTTTGTTATTTAAAAAAAATTCAATTGTAGAAACTGAAAGTGTAACAACCTTAGTGTTTAAAATACTTTCATTTGGACTTCTGTTTCCAGGAAGTTGGAATATATGTGCTTTTCTGTAACTCCCCCACTATGTACAACTAAAACCTCTGGACATTATATATGTAACAAATATGGGGCAAACCTGAAAGGTAGAAAGAAGGTAGGTTGGTTAGAAATCTCAGGATGCAAAAAAGGGCATGGGAGTGAGTACTCAATATTTTCCTTTTGTCTCATATGCACCAGACTTGGAATAAAGAAGCCTACAACCTAGAAATGCCAATGGACACAGACAAAAAAGCCTCCTCGGTCCAGCCAGAGAGCCAGGAAAGGGATGGCCTAGCAAGACAAAAAAAAAAAAAAAAAAAAAAAAAAAGATAATAACAGCCCTTCAGTGAAAATCCCAGAAAAAAGTGTAACTCCACTCTTCAACCGCAGCAGCAAAAAGCAGGGAGCCAAGACTTTCTTCCTGGCCAGGCCGTGGTGTCTGAGAAGTCAGGTAGGGAGCCTGGATTTCCATTCTTGTCAGGAAGGAGAAGGTCCTCCTCCCTGGAGTCAGTGGAGACCACACTGGGAATTGAGACACCTAGCCTCACTCTGTAGTAAGAGCACACCCTTTCCTTCCCAGCTGGGTAGATGTCAGAGGAGATCTAGTGGAGAATTAGAACCTTCTCCAATGCCCCACAGTAATGAGGCCAATCCCCTGCCCTTATGGTGTCTATTGAAGCCACCTGGAAGCAGTAATAAATCCCATCTATCTCTCTTAGCCATGAAGGTATCAGTGAAGACTGAGTAGAGAGCAGGACCCTCCCCTGCTTCCCGACCTTAATACGAAGTCTTGTCTCCTTGGGTTTCAGTAGAGTCTGGGTGGGAATGTTGGACTTCTAACCCCCACTAGGCAGTAGTGAGTCAGTGCCCCTCCTCCTTCCCCTGCCAAAGAGGTATCAGAGGGAGCCAGCTAAAACAGAACGTTTATGGAAGATGAGGAGTTTTATAACATAATACCCAAAATGTTCATGTCTCAATTTAAAATCACTCATCATCCCAATAAGGATGAGCATCTCAGCCTAAATGGAAAAAAAAAAAAAAAAAAAGCAATGGAAACTAACAGAGATCTGGATGACAGAGATGTTAGAATTATCTGGCAAATATTTTAAAGTACATATCACAAAAAT